CGGGGACGAAGCGGAGTCCAGCCCGGGGTCGTCACATGTGGTTGCCGCAAGCCCGCCGGACGCTCCTTCGTCGAATCCGCCGGCCGCACCATTCTCAAGCCCGCCCGCCTCTGCTCCCTCAAGCTGGTCTCCGCATACTCTAGGCCGCTGCTCACTCTAGGTCTCCGGCTGCCGCTCACTCAAGGCCGCGGTGTGTGACGCTTTTTCGTTGTGAAAGCGAAACTACTTTGTTTGGCCTTCCAAAAGAGGACACAACTAGAAATCAGTGGTTAAGTTGTATTTACAACACTGTTCCAGAACAGTTTAACCCAAATATTCAGATGTGTCCAGCGCATTTTATGGAGGACTGTTTCCTGATCCTGGTAGAGTAGACTACAATGCCGGCTGTTCTGACTCACAGACTGCAAGTAAATTTTTTATATTTAAAGAATTTGCCACTGACGATTCAAACGCGAGTTTTTTGGGCAGTGTAGAGTAGCACTTGTTGTTTGTCATTTCTCCGATCGCAAATGCAGACATGGTTTTAGGTTACGCTTCGGCCGGACAGGGCATCAAAATATGGTAAGGGGCGTAACATTTCCGTCAAACGCTTGAGGTATTCAGCCAATCACAACGCACTGGATAGCTGGCCAATCAGAGCACACCTCACTTTTCAGACCGATGAGCTTTGTAAAAATCTACACGTTTCAGAAAGGTGGGGCATAGAAGAGAAACAATAATGTACAGTATGTGGAAAATAATGTGTTTTTTAACCTTAAACTGCATAAACATATTTCATTACACCAAATACACAAAATAATGTTCTTTTTAGCAGCATCATGACCCCTTTAATAATAACAACATTATTTGATTGGATGACACCTTTTGCATACTTAGTTGTTTAAATATAATTTAAGTAAGATGTTTTCAAAAACTTTTAATACATAAAATATTGCAATATTATAATCTATCTTAGCTGTAGTGGTTCATTGCTACTCATCAATTTGGCTGATTTAAGGCCACAAATACTTTATTCTTCATATTGTTTAAATACTTATGAAGAAAATAATGGAACACTATTGAAAGAGCACTGAACTGGATGATGACATCACTGAATCATCAATGAACTGACTTTAGCTGGAAAAATTACTCTGTTATCATCTTCTTGCATTATTGACAAACTATTTTCCTGTTTGATATGGAGAAGCTGCTTTGACACAATCAGTATTGTATAAAGCGCTATATAAATAAAGGTTAAAAAAATAGATAGATAGACAGACAGACAGACAGACAGACAGATAAATAAATAAATGTTTCCAAAACTAAGGTTGTGAGGAAAAAAGGGGGCGATCACCGTTGCACACTATAAGGTACAACATGCACCAGACTAAATGGTGAAAACTCTGGCATGTCAAGTTCCTGGTCTTTACCAGTGCTTGGCTGACATTTCCACCGGTAGCGAGGGATTTAAAATGGCTGCTGTTGTAAACCAGCTGTAGTTCGGCCATGTCCACAGTTTCCAGCTCCTCCTGACTGGGCCTGTCCACCACTCGCAACTTCTCTGTGCTGTCCATTAACACAAGCGTACGGGGGTTTATCCACTGCCAAGAGACAAGAGACAACATGAAACAATGCACACACTGCCATAAAGGTAATCATACTCATATGATTGCTAGTGAGGGTCTGACTCACGCTCAGACTGATGAGGTCACAGCTGAGTTGCAGCTGTCTATGTTTGATGACATGGATGATGCCAGACTCATCTTTTTTAACCTGAGCACCAAAACAATAGAGTGGTTTGATTACTGCATGACCTTATTTAAAGGTGAAGTATATCATTTCTGTTCCACTGATAGAACTAAACAGATTTATGACTTGCTTTCTAACAACTTTCAACCATTCCTAAATATCATGTCTTTGTTTCTAGCGTTATCCCTCCCCAAACTCATGCTGTTGGTGTGTCTGGCCACTAGGGACGTTCAAACAGAACAGAAATGCCACATTTCACCTTTAAGTCTACATTCTGTTTATGACTTTTAAAACAGTGTTGCTCAAACAGACCAGCAGGAAGTGGATGGTGTCCCCTCTACAGAAGGCAAGAACGGGGTTGATTGTTTTCTGTACTGCCACAAACTGCCAAGCCAGCAAGGGAACACTCGCAGGATCCGTCTGCATCCAAAAACATTTAAAAACGTATGAGATATTTAGATCTGCAATGATTAGAGTCCAGACCAAAGATGTAGGTATCCTCCTATGTCTTTGTTCGCACGATATGTTCTTATTGTCACTCTTGCTGGTGCTTTTTGGACTTCGCACTTAACTGCCATCTTTTCCTACCATCAGAAATAATCATCACTATTCATTACAGTGACTTTTCCTATGAGAAGATGCCATGAAAATGTTTGCAGGCACCTCAGAACTCCATCATAACCCAAATCAATCATGTGAGGCAAAATTGAGTGATATCTGCGTGCTAATGGGCAGCTGGTCCATGTGCTCTGTGCTAAATGAATGCAATTTAGCTCAATTTAATTGAAGAGAACAACCTCCACACAGGCATAAAGGTGACAATACTTGATGAACGACCAAATGAATCCAGGTCAACAATCTCTTCAGAACTTTTGTTTAGAGGTTTGCAGCAATCTTAATAGATAGCTTGCTTCATTTTGAACAAAAAGGTTTAATGGCATCTTACTTTTTTAGATGCCATTAATGGGAAGGTTTAATGGGAAGTCATGGCCTAATGGTTAGAGAGTCGGACTCATAACCCAAAGGTTGTGGGTTCGAGTCTCGTACCGGCAGGGATTGTAGGTGGGGGGAGTGAATGTACAGCACTCTCTCCCACCTGCAATACCACGACTGAGGTGCCCTTGAGCAAGGCACCGAACCCCAACTGCTCCCCGGGCGCCGCAGCATAAATGGCTGCCCACTGCTCTGGGTGTGTTCACGGTGTGTGTGTGTTCACTGCTGTGTGTGTGCACTTTGGATGGATAAATGCAGAGCACTAATTCCGAGTATGGGTCACCATACTTGGCCACACGTCACTTCACACACTTTACTATGAAGCTCTATGTGTGAGTTGTGTGGAATCTAAATGTAACTTCCCATAAAAGCAATGTATGATTAATGTTTTGTTTTTTTTACAATAATTGTGAATAATCATTTAAAGATAATCTGTTCTAAAGTCAGCATAAAACAAAAGTTAGAACTGACTTCCATATTGTGATGTATTTCTGCGTAAAATGCAAATGTATGTGCAATATATGTGCACTGGTCAATTATTCACAGTAATACCAGTAATATGAACTGAGGGAATAAATGAGATAAAATTATGAATTCATGCCAACTTTAAATTAAAAACCCACTCTCATGTCAGCAAATGCAATAGAACTGCAACATACCTAAATTCAACAAAACATCTCTTTATAATACAGTTAAAAAGCATGATGATCAATGGCTGCACTAGAAGTACAGTTGTGATTTTGAAGATGAACGAAAGTCTAATGGGTTTGGAATGACATGACAGTGAGTAAATGATGATAGAATTTTGTTGGGTAAACTATCCCTTTAACATATGCGTGGTGACACTGAGATCAGGGCTGAGTATTGTTAGGTAAGGTACATAAATCTATGAACTTGTATACTGTTGAAGAGAGGAAAAACACTAGAGATGCAGTCAATCATGTACATGCTATGAAAACAAATTATAACATAAATCTTAAATACAGGGGTTATAAGTTTATCTGTTAGATGCCGTGTCAATGGCTGTTGGATAAGCACACAGATACACACATGAACACTGAGAATGAAAGTGTGTACTGCACCTTGCCGTAGGGAAAAGTCAACCACACTTTGAGTGAAGGCTTCAGTCCTATCAGCAGAATCTGTCAAAATAAAGAGTTGAGGGGCTGAATAAAACTGCAGTCAAACAGAAACCAATCGAGTGTGTTCGGATGCTAGTAGCTGACTGGTGCCCCAAACAAACAAGCAATTCACAAGATATAACCCATCTGACAATACTGTTAGTTTACGCACATAAAACCAAAATAGAAGCCTTTTGACAATACAAATTTCACCCCATTTAATGCAGTGATACAGTGACATATAGTGATAGTGAAAGAAGTCTCTTATGCTCAAGAAGGCTACAATTATGTAATGAAAAATTCAGTAAAACAGTCAATCTGTGAAATATTATTACCATTTAAAATAACTCTTCTGTTTGAATATAGTTTAAAATGTAATTTATTCCGGTGATGCAAAACTGAATTTTAAGCAGCCATTACTCCAGTCTTCAGTGTCACATGATCCAGAAATGCATTACGATATATTAAAATAGAGTTCAGATGCAAAAGCCTCTAAGTGCCATCTGAAATTTTCATCTAAAATTAGCATTTTTATCAGACTCCTATATTTATGTTCATTTATTTCACTTTAATGGCATAGAAAATGACCTATACATTGCCATTAAAGTAAAATTACTGAAACTAAACATAGGAGCCTGATAAAAATGCTAATTTTAGAAGAAAATTTCAGATGGCACTTAGAGGCTTTTGCATCTGAACTCTTCATATGTTGATCAAGATATATTAAAAATATATAAATATATTAAACAATCGTATTATGCCAGCAACTGCTTTTTACAGTACTTCATTTGGTCTGCTCGTTTTTCACTGTTGTTACATGTTATTTCAAATGTTACTTGTACTTGAAACCAATGTGGAATGGCAGTTATGGACAAATTAGTTTTCTTCCTGAATGAAGTTAAAAGAGAAACTGTCCATTGGCCATAGACCTTTTAGCCCCATTCACATGAAGAATGACAACTATGAACATTAAGTTTAAAATAAAATGCTCCAACTCTAAGATAATAGCGAGTCCACACCACAAACAAATCCTTCCATCCATCCATTCGCTCAAAGACCCAAATGTTACATTAACAGAAAACCCATCACCACATAAATTGTTTATCATACAAAAACAAGCAAAAATCAAAGAATTAAATGTATCAATCTTGCCCAGAATTGCATAGACCCATCAAGATGCTTAGTCAGGCTGCATAGGAAAATTGACAGTTTTGGAATTGGAATTGTAGAGCAGCAGAGGTATTAATTGACAGTCAAACACATGAAACAAACACTTGGCCAAATATGAGAAATGCCTAGCCATTAAGTGCACAATATATATATATATATATATATATATATATATATTTATTTATTTTTATCTCAAGAGATTTAATTTGGCGCAAAACATTTTTATTCTCATTGCAAGTGAACCAGGGCTGCAGACGGCAACTAAATGGTCCAAATTTAGCAAATTTCCTACCAGTGGAACTACATTTTGGTCACACTGGTGTGATTACAAAAGCATATTTGATTATGTGCTGCTTGTATGGGAACCACCTAAAGCCAAAAATCAAACATTTCCCAAAATCTTTTGAAGCAACACCAATGTCTATGGGAACATCTTAAAATGTAAAATGACTGTAAAAAATATGATTTAAACAACTTCACAGTTCCAATAATAAAGGTGTTTTGACAAAAATCTGAAAGTTTTATTAAAACATACACACCATTTCATTGTAACATTTCAGCCTAATAAATCACTGTGCATGTTCGGTCTGAACGAAAAAGGTGATATTGTGACACCTCTAGACTTTTAGGGAGTGAGTAGTCAGCAGTAGACAGTACTGAATGTATGAGTATACCTTGGTGAGTGAGGCCATGGCCAGCAGGGAGTAGTGGGTAATGGGATGATCTTTCAGTTCAGGTCCAGCATGTAGAGGCTCAACACAGCAAACCTCACCTTTAGAACCACTGAATAAACACCTGGATTCACATGTCCTCATTCCCATCACCCTCCTAGATAGAGAGAGAGAGAATGTGAGCACATTCATAATCCAGAACCTCTGTAATAGAGTCCCAGCATTACCGCAGTGAATGATAGATACCTGTCAGGTAAGACTAGAGTCGTAACAGAATTCATCAATTGATACAGATTCAGATAATTAGGTTTCTGTTGGAATCTCTTGGAGTTTGAGTGATTAAGTTGAGGGGTGTGACAGAGCTCTATTCTCTGCCATAGGTAAGAGAAGCAACGGTAAGAAAAATGAATAAGAAATGTCAGGTAAAATATAACACAAAAAAGTGAGTGTTAGTAATTGTTCTATATCAGAATTCATAATGCTGAAATAGAGTGGGTATACCATATTGGCAAAGTTGGACTGTGTTCATAATTCAGTTTATTTACATGATTTTTAATGAAATGTATTTCAGAATGGAATGGCAAAAAAAAATGCAAGAAAGAAAGTAAAAGAACAGGAAAAAGACGGTTAAGAACGGGAGCAAGAATTTTTTTTTTTTAATCAACAGACAAGATGAATGGAGCAATACTAGAATATAGGGAAATGTTAAATCATAAATGTTTTTTCTTAGTAGATATTTTAAGGATAACTCACTACTTAAATTTGTTCATTTAAGTTGATTTATTAAGTGGATGTTTTTTATATATTGTTTAGTGGGGGGGGGGGGTTTTACTTTTTTATTTCTTAAGTTTTAGTCCTTTTGTTTTGTTTTTTATAACACTTATTTAGTCTTAAATTTTAGATTTCGGGTTTATTTAGTGTTAGGAAATAATAGATGTTCACATTATTATATGTAATACACTTTATTTGTTATAGTTTCAATAACCCTGGTTGTCTCAGCCTATGGGTTACTGTCAGACGCATGAGGCTCTACTGCCCCCTGCACACCAGTAATCTGTAGTAAAATAATATAATGTCACATTTATCATATTAGATTTTTTTTTATATTTTGTAGGGGGGGGGGGGGGATTTTACTTTTATATTTCTTAAGTTTTAGTCCTTTTGTTTTGTTTTTTATAACACTTATTTAGTCTTAAATTTTAGATTTCGGGTTTATTTAGTGTTAGGAAATAATAGATGTTCACATTATTATATGTAATACACTTTATTTGTTATAGTTTCAATAACCCTGGTTGTCTCAGCCTATGGGTTACTGTCAGACGCATGAGGCTCTACTGCCCCCTGCACACCAGTAATCTGTAGTAAAATAATATAATGTCACATTTATCATATTAGATTCAGCTCATTACATGTAACACAAAACTGAAACAATGTACTTCAACTTAAACATATCTTGAATTTTATAAAGGACATGTCACCTGAATGACAGCTCAAACACTGATCCGCCACTGTCATTACACACAGCTAGTGCCGGGTGGTCAGTAAACTATGGAAAGAGAGAGAGAGAAAATTGCTTTATTCAGTGTCAATGAACAACAAAGCATGTAAAGTGCATACGTAAATACAGTGCAGAACCTTCACATGTAGAATGGCAGTGCCGGGTGGATGGGCGTCAGTGATAGTGCGGAGCAGCTTCCCATTGGCCAGATCCCACATGGTGATCTGCATTAGGAATAAAATGACACTTTCCATAAATATGTGCATGAACATTCAGCCTGACCTGACCATAAGCTATTTGCCATCAAGATTGTTCGTCAGTTTAAGGGATTATTGCGGCTCACCTGTCCTTTGGCAAAGCCACACAGCAGTCGTGTGCAATCGTGATTAATACTGAGAGCCGACACCGCCCCATACTCCGCTCCTGTCGCTGTGGTGCCCAGACAGAGACGCAGAGCCTGGTTCTGATCTGAAATCAAAAATATACTAATTAGACAAAACAGCATTAAAGGCTTAGTTCACCCAAAAATGAAAATTAGCTTGTATTTTACTCACCCTCGAGGCATCCTAGGTGTATATGACTTTCTTCTTTAAGACGAATCCAGTCGGAGTTATATTAAAAATTGTCCTGGCTATTCCAAGCTCTATCATTGCAGTCAGCGGGTGTTGCAGTTGAACGGTCCACAAGTCCTCAAATAAAGCGCGTGCATTCATAACAAAACGTGCCTCACACGGCTCCAGGGGGTGAATAAATGCCCCCAGTAGCGAATCCATGTGTTTTTTTAAAGACAAATATCCATATTTCAAACGTAATAAACACTTTTCTCTCACTTCCGCTGACTGTCATACACTGAAGCAGTTCCGGCGGATGACGCAGCACGTATGCGCAGTGCGTGCGCCTCTGAGATATGCTAGTCTCGCGAGTTTGTTTAATAGGAACAAAGGAAGCAAAGTTTCCTTACTTTAGCAAAGGAAAACCAGTCTCCTCTTGGTTTATATCGAAATCCTCCGACATTTTTCTTTGCAAATCCTCGGTTTGTACTTCTAATTCATGCATTTTGTTTTGTTCCCTCTCCGCATTCGTCACTAATCACGGAACGCCGATGTGCTGCGTCATCCGCCAAAACTGCTTCAGTGTCAGCGGAAGTGAGAGAAAAGTGTTTATTAC